ATAAATGATTTAGGAAAAAGCAATCAATCAGATTCCCTGTGCTAGTGGCAGTGCTACATAAAATGCAATACATAGTAAAACAACATTTCTTTTACAATCTAAATCAAATAGTATTCTGTGCTAAACACAGATTCTTGCAAAAATGGCTTGCAGCATTTTTGGTTTTAGTACGCTTTACTTTCTACGTTACTGGCATGTGATGAGGTAGTTTGGAGTAATCGAGCTGATATAAATTCTGCCTTTTTCTTGTCAAGAGCCACTGATAATTCTTTCTAGACTGCTTATTGCTATTTTTAATTGGTTTGTCTTTAAATAATTTTAACTTGTAAGTCCAGTTGGATAAGTCTCAAAAACCTGCAGATGAAGTTTGGGGTTTTGCACAAGTAATTGAACTTTAATATCTGTAAAGCATCCACTATAGACATGAATAGGCCTATTCTCTCTTCTGGCAGATGTTTTTCAGATATTAGATTTACACCAAATTATCTTTGGGTGCTTTAGCAGTACACAGTAGCCTTCATGTGCAGATGGCTATGATACTCTTTGCTCTCCTTCTCCATGTTATGAAATGAATGGGATAATTTATCCTTCTTGGACAGAGAGAGAATTGTAATGAAAGCTTTATGAGAGTTCCTGAAATTCTTCTTACTGATATCTACTAACAAGTCTTGTTATTCAGTGTGAAAGTCTCAGCTTAGCATTTCCCCAGCGTAAGTACCTTCAGCAGCAGGGAATTCTGCACACTCCTCCCAAAGCAGCCCAGAGCTGTGCATTTTGGAAACTTTGATCTGAACTTCTGGGTGAGTTTTTCAGAGGAATTCAGGTCTCCTTAGGAAGTAGTTGTCAATATTGTTTAATACTAAGGTTGTGAGAATACAGTGAGAAGCTTGATCACATCTTCCTCGTAGAGGGGGAATATTGAAGCGTTTCGCAGCATGCTAGAACATAAATCCAGTAGTACTGGATTACTCCTTTGTGAACCTGTATGATCATATAGTTCTACTAATAGATGTTAACAGAAAAAAAGCCGTTTCATAAACATATTTTCTTTTATATAAAAAAGTGGGTTTTTTTTTTTGCTGTAACTTATTTCAGTTTTTATTTTGTCAGAAAGAAAAATAAAAGATTTACTTATGAGTCATGAAGTTTAACCCTTAAATTACCTCAAAATTCAACAAATTACCTTGTTTAATTAAACAAATTAATCCCACCAAGTTCAGTTAATGGTACTAGCATCTGAAATTTGCTGTTGGAAAGCAGTGTTTGAGATAGACTAAAACTCAGCAGTATCACAAAGGAAGAATGAATCCTCACTACAAGGTATGTAATATTATTCTTTCTAAACTCTCCAAGGATGTTATTTTATATTTTTCATAACATATACTTCCTTTCACATCTCAAGATCAGCCAATTTATTAATTTTTCTTTATTTTATTGTAGTGCTGGGGTTTTTTTCTCTCTGAAAGCCTGAAGTGAGACTTGACATGTAAATTGGTGACAGACAAGGAAACCTAAGTAAGCTGTCTGCCTTCTTCCTGAAGATAGACTTGTCACCAAAGATATCATGACAACCTGATAAATTTCAGGTCTGCAGAATCTGCACATACTCCTTATACCACATAGCACTTGAAAAAGTGACCAAAGAACCTAGTGCGCAGAATGAAGGATTTGTGCTTCATACAGATACCGAAACAAATGTGTTCCCTTCAAATGTCTTACTGAAGTGGGTCTGTCTTGCCATGAACACAGTCATTAATGACCTCCATCCATGTACCATTGATCTTCCTGGAAAATTACCTTTTAAAGCAAATGAAGCAGATCTAGTGGTACTTAAAATTTAGTATCCTGCAGAGAGTGGAATCAGCTTGTCAACAGCCAATGCCCCAGTGCTAACAGTAATTTTCCTTCCTGTCAAACAGCTGCTTCTCCACTGGGAGAAGGTACATGAGTAAGTGTAATGTCCAATGTACCTTATAGAAAGGACAGAATGCCTTCATTCCATGGAAATAATTTGCAGGAAAACAGCTTTTACAGGTATCCACTGGAGAAATGGAGGATGAGGCTATGCAGGATGAGACCCAAAACCTGGGGAAGAAGAGGGGAGTTACCAAGTGACTCACAGTGATTCACAATGTCAGTGATTCACAGTGTCAGAGCCAGAACTTGGTATAAACCTATACCACAAGAATTTATGAATGTCAAAAAGCTAAATTAAAGATTACAACGTATTGTCAAAGCTTTCCAAGTTGTGTTTCACAGCTCATGTCTTTTAGTTCAGAAACCACGGTAATCTCAATTACAAGGTGAAGTACAAGATTTCCTTATTTCTTGAAATGTTCAATACTTAAAAGTGCCTCAGTATTTCAGGTCATTTTTGAAGGAAATAAACTTTTAAGGTATTGTGCTCTTGCTCTTCCTTTGCGTACCTTTTGCTGTCTTTATACGTGGTGGAAATAGAACAAGGTTAATTGAAGAAACGAGGGAAAGGGAGGGAGGTTCTCATATAATTAGGCAGTCTTAGAAAATAATAACTAAGCAGCAAAATACCTTATTTCCTTGTGAGAACAAAACAATTCTAATCTCCCAGTGAGTCTGTAATTTGACTTTTTAAAATAATTCAACTGATGCTATAGAAAATTCAAAACCAATTCTAACAACAGTACTGACTGAACTAAGGATGCCTTGCATAGCTATTGGAAATCATTATGCTAAAGCTATTCTTATCTCTACATACAGTATCTCTTGGCAACAGGCAACAATTTTGTGCTGTAAATTTCATCTAAGACAATTCTTCGTGGGGTGCACAGATGCGGTAAGCAAACAGAAAAGTTAAATCACATGTTGGTCTTCATGAGACAACTTCAACTGATGAGTTCTGATGATGAAAAATGCAGGTTTGAACATACTTGATATCACAAAGTGTGTAAGAAGCATTGGTATGATGGTGGAGTCACAGATAATGCTTGTTTGATTACAAAGATGGACCTCGTGACAAACACAAGTAATCTTGGCTCCTTTTCAGCCCTCTGTTGTTTTAGGCTCTAAACAAGTAACATAATATCTATGAGATTCTTTTGATTGCACTGTCCAAACAGAGTAGGGAAGCTAAATATTATGCTTCCAGATTATGTTCAATTATTTGTTTGATGAATCTCCTTATGGTGAAACAAGAGAAGGTATGAGGGGAAACTAATCAGTGACCACTGATGTAAGCTATTTGCTGATGTAGTTTAAATTCTGTTTCTTAAGGAGTTCTGGATATGTCAAAAGCATATCATGTTCCACATTCCACTTTTTCTCCCTTGTTTATAAGATACAGGCTTCTATATTTCTTTGGTTGTTGTCATCAGCCAGAGCTGCTGAGCTTTGGGGTAATGTAAAGATTAAGAAAGAATTTATTTCACAAAAATTAAAAAAACCCTGTTCTCTCATCAGTTTTGCTGTGAATGTTAGCAGCTTTGAAAGCAGAGTGGGTTCCATCTTGAATTGTTGATGTTGATGAGCTGTTCAAAATCTATCCTGTATGAATAAGATGGCTCTCATTCCTGAAATCAGTTTTCCATTTTCTGCCCTCAAACTACCTTAGATTTGCTGCTAACCCCATGAAAGACAGAATTAAAAGTAGAATACAAAAAACTGCAATTGATATCAATATGCTGTAAGAATGTAACTACCAAAATACTTTAAAGTTTGCTGTATGTTGGATGGATTTTATGGTTGTTTCAGTGTTTTTACGGATTATTGGCTTCATAACTTCAAACTCGCTTGTCTTCTGCCACTGCTGTATGCCTGGATTATATTTGGGTTATCAAAAACTAATGATGCATGGAAACAGTTTTATAGTTTCTAGGTTATCACAAAATGCATAATCTGCATTATTCCTTGAAATTAAGTGCTATTTGAGCACTTTAAAATGGTTTTAGTATATAATTTTGTCCTTTGCCTGTGGGTGAGAAATCAAGATCATATATATCATTCTACTGTGTCCGTTTCCCCAAAAGTCATAGTCATTATTCCATGTCCGAGTTGTTCGTTTTGCTTTACAGTTTTCAACAACTAAACCTTTAAAAGACTACAAACCTTTGTGAATATCTTACTTCTTGGTTTTGTAGCAGATTTGTTTCTAATGTCTACTGATCAGTTCTGTGTACCAGCTCCAGAGAATGCAAGTTAGCTAAGCTGCCATTTGGCAAACCCAGATTCACATTTCATGCATATGTTTTATGACTGTGTGAACATGTGCTGTCTTCTGTTTTCTCTTGTGGGTGGTAGGATTTTCTTGGTTGGTTGGTTGGTGTTTTTGTGGGTGTTTTTTTGCCATCCACAGCGATGACTGTTGCATCTGCTACAGTTGCTTCCGGCCTCACTGAATGTGACTGGCTTTTGTTGCATTCGAGCCATTTTCAGAAAAAGAATGATGCTGGATTTACAAGGAAAGTCTAAATGGGTTTGAACTAGAGTTTGTCCTTTTCATCCATAGTAAGAGTATTAACTACATAGCATGCAGAGCAAATACGAGATAACTATAAGCTGAACTTTTCACCCATGTTACTCTCACTGTCCATTTTCCTTTGCTGATCATGGTGCACAAGACAGAAAAGCATCTATTTCAGACAACTCTCTGTGACCTGATCATCTTTCTGTTACCAGTGCCGATGTTTCAGCCTAGGGGCTGGAATTACAGCAAACCAATGTTATTTTATCCAGCCTTGGGATTAGAAGTTACCTTAAGCCAAATGTACAGTTACTATCTATATATGGGATGTGTGTAGCCCTGATTTGTTCTTAAAGGTTTGCTATGTTAATATAATATATCTTTAAAAAAAACCCCAAAGATTAAAATAGACCTAAGATTTCCATTCAAAATTTTCTTTAGAATATATGTCTCTGTTTGTTTTTATCTATTATGTTATAAATGGTGTCATTTTAAAATCTATTTGAAGTTATTTCATGATTTCAGAAGCTATGTGTATCTTAACTGTTTACTCCTGTTTTCATAGATGGCTATACAACAGATGACATTGAATTTTACTGGCGTGGGGGTGATAACGCAGTCACAGGAGTGACAAAGATCGAACTGCCACAGTTCTCCATTGTAGACTACAAGCTTATCACCAAGAATGTTGTTTTCTCTACAGGTTTGTGGAGGGGAAGCTAGAAGGGGAACTGACTGGGAAGACTTTTAAAAGTGGGTTAATTCTTAACGTGCAGTTCAGGATCTGAGAAAAAAATCGTAGAAACAGAAATAAATTAGGGCAGCAACTGTGAATTTTGAAAGGAGCGGTTTTTATTACGGCTTTCATACTGTAAGGCATCAGCCATTAATATATGAAGAGGATACAGTAGTCTGTCATGTTAAGGCTCAGTCAAGTAAGCTGTATTTTTGTTTTCCTATGAAAACTGATTAAGCCACTTACATACCTCCATGCCTAACCCCAGTAAGGAGTAACCCAGCCTGTAGGAAATTTAGGAACATTTACTATTTCTGGATGTTGCTTGTGCCAAGCTGTGGATAGACTAATTATTCGTCTTTGCTGAAAACCTGTAAAATCCTTGTTCCCCAGGATTTGGTGTTTAGCCTAGACAAGCAAGCATACGACTTTCTGAAGGCTGAAAAGATGCTTTGTGAGGAGAAGTAGAAAATAAGGTTGGATTTCATTTAAAAAAAACAAAACCAAACCACCACCCCAAAAAAACAAAAACAGCACCACCACCACCACCCCCCCCAAAAAAAAAACCAAACAAAAAAAAACCCCAAAAAACAAGCCAAACCAAAACACCAAAACCAGCAACAAGAACAAGTAGAACATTTCAGTGACATGATAAATCATTCAAGAGAGACAAGAGTTGGGTTGGCCTGTTGTTATGGGCTATTCTCTACCTCCTTGAGGAAGCTGCTAGGTTTAAAAGAGAAATAAATCTTTGAAACTCACTTTCTAGGTATAGATAGAAATCATCTTTGAACGGAAGATTGTGCATCCCAAATTCTTTAAAAGCAGAAATGGGACTTGGATAGTGATCTTCAGGCACCCATTTCAACAAGTGTTTCATACACTAAAATGTTTCTAGTGTTCAGTGACAAAGGACAAGTGTTGTGTTGCTTGGAGAGAAGGTTAGAATAAAGGTTACACTGAAGTAGACATACTGCTGCTTGGCACTGAAGAAACATTGCTATGCTTTGATGCTCCAAAATGTAATTTGATTGTTGTTGAATATTATGATTATGCATCTAGAGCATCGTTGTACCTTTAGAGTAAAAGATTATTTAATCCCAGTTCTTGCTAGAAATTCTGCAACTGATTATCCTGGATTTTTTCAACTCTCTGTATACTCTAAGTTGCATGAAACAATCAAATTAAAATGACAGAAGAATGTTTTCAGGCTTTATACAAGTAAATTATGGCCATACCAAATATTCTCTTTTAGGTGCCTACCCAAGGCTGTCTCTGAGCTTTAAACTTAAGAGAAACATTGGTTACTTCATTCTGCAGACCTACATGCCTTCTATTCTGATCACTATCCTGTCCTGGGTTTCCTTCTGGATTAATTATGATGCTTCAGCTGCAAGAGTTGCTTTAGGTAGGCATTTTTACATGTCATGCATTGTGCATTAACTGAATGCTTCTTCTTGCTTCTGGCTTAGTGGATAGTACATGATTTGAAAAATAAATGTTAGGTCTTTTATGTCTGGCTTGTTAAGCTTTGTCTTATTTGAATCAGGATTTAAATCATCACAATTTAAATAAAAATTAAAGTGATTTCATGTCTGAATTAGCTAACTGTATAATCATTGTAACCAGAATTAGCCTAATTGTCCCAACATTTTCTGGTTTACTGCTTGTTTTTTTTTCTCCAAAGAGAATGCATTTAGTTTGCTTTTGCCCATGGCAGCCCAGAATACACATTCAGCACTGTGTTATGGATTATAAATTGCTTTTCCTTTCAGGTATGAATTAAATAAAGTTTTACTAGGGTTGTATAGCTAACTTCTCCTTAAGTTGAGGGCTTCTTTTTCCTTACTGTTACGTTACAGTCTAAAAGGAAAACCATTTCCCTAATTAAGCTCCTAATAAGAGTACTCTTATATCCCATCACAAATCCCATGTATGCTTGTTTATGTCCTCATCAGACTATCCAAACATGTTACAAAAATTAATTAGTATCTATTACCAAATATTGTATAAATCAGACCGATTTCTGCCAGTACAACTCTCATATAGCTAAAATAAGTAAATTACTATAAAAAACAAAATTGATGACATGACATTTTACCTTTATAGAATACTTTCTGAGTTTTACCAAGCCTTTCTGTGTAGCATTTTTGTATAAGAATTCAGGACTGCAGACATCCTAAAAATGCTGGAGGAAAGCAAGATAACAGTGACTCTAGGCTGGTAGTTTATAAATGAGAGTTATTAAAGAAGCTTACAGTTTAGCTGGCTAAAAACATACTCATAGAATCCAACTACTGCTTGATTGAATGCAGTTTATTAGAGCTGTAATTGTTTTTGCTGTATAAAAAAATTAAAGACAAAGATAAAGAACATAGAGGTTGGGGGTGGGCTTTCTTCTACCAGGAAAAAAAGTAGAATTTTTCAGCTCAAGCTTTTAAACATTATGTACTAGAAAATTAAAATTAATTCAATCAGTAGACATGTCCATTCTTTTTTTCCAGGAATCACAACTGTGCTCACAATGACAACAATTAACACCCATCTTCGAGAGACTCTTCCCAAAATTCCATATGTGAAAGCCATTGACATGTACCTTATGGGGTGTTTTGTCTTCGTTTTCATGGCTCTGCTGGAGTATGCATTGGTCAACTACATCTTCTTTGGCAGGGGACCTCAGCGCCAAAAGAAAGCTGCAGAAAAAGCTGCCAGTGCCAACAATGAGAAGTTGCGAATGGATGTCAATAAGGTAAACTGAAACAGGGATTTGTTTTTAGCATTGCCCCAAGAAGGCAGCCTTTCATTTCTGCCAGACAGAGCCTTAAAATATAATTTGTTGTAGAAAATGAATGGAGTGGGATTATTATGATCTTGTTTTAGCTCTGCTGAGCAGTGTACTTAGCCACCTCAGCAATAAATGCTGCCCTCTAGCCTGGAAAACAGAATTACTTTTTTCTAAAGCATGAACTCAGTTAAGCTTTATTGTGAGATGTTTTTTTTCAGTCAGGATGTAGAGTTAAATAAGTCTAATCTGTTTCCAGAGGAACAAATCCAAAATGATGGCTATAGCTGATATTCTAGTAAGAGCTGTATGGAACATTGGAAATAAACCTAAATTTAACCTACTTCATAAATCTTTCAGATGACCTGGATAAGAAATATTTGCTACAGATGTGTTTAAAGCTTGAAAAGTTTGCATATTTTCAATGTATAATGGCCCAGGATACTATTGACTAAATGAGAAACTGCTCAGAAATAAAACATCAATGTGCTGTGCACTTCATTTTAAATCTAAAAATGGTTCCCTGGGGATGGAGAATTGAGGCAGAAAATACATTTGCCAAGAAACACACTTTTGGAAAAAATATCCATTATGTTTAATGACAATGGAGCACTTATCATAAAGCACTTGTCATTTTTCACTTTGACCATTTTGGATGAGTTGCACACAGTGGCAAATCTGGGCTGAATGCTAAAAACGTACTCAGTGTGAAATGTATAAGCTTTCACATAAAGGCAAAATTGGAAAGTTAAATAAAGTTAATTTATTTCATTTGTTTTGTTGGGGGTTTTTTGGCATGGAAAGCTTTTTGAATTTGTAATTTGACATGATTACTCCAATGGGAAAAAAACAACTCAGAATTAAAAGAAAAAATCTAAATCACAAAGAAACCAAGTGATTACTAGTAATTATTTGTGAAGTGGAAACAAAAGTTTCATACAGCTCTACTAGTGGAATTTCTCATGTTTGTTCAGAACTTCTACACTACCACAATGTGCTTGCAGACAGAACATTTTGTTCCATTTTGCTGGAACAGCACTAATCCATCACATGTTGATAGCATAAAACAGTTTATAGGTTATAGTTTATGGTCTTCTAAGATGAAGGATTATATTGTCATGGCTCACATCTCACCCATTCATTAATTTATTTTCTTTTTAATTTGAGAGAAACATGTTTTAATGAACGAAGGCAAATGCATAATGATGAGATTAATTTTGATGTTCTGGTACCATAGATCACCATTTACCATAGTAAAGTTCATGAAGACACTGTAAATTTTTTTCTTTCTATTGGTGATTTTCAGCAATGGAAAAAATACTGCAAGCTTTAATTTAATTTGTAAGTTTATTTTTTAAAGCAGTGTCCCTTTAAACAATCAAAGCTATTAAGTAAGAAACCTTGTAGGTATTTCTATGAAACTAGACCTGCATTTACCTGAAGTCTTTCCTCTAACATCAATGGAAATTTAAGGTCCATAGGTGCCAGGGTGTCACCACCTACATATAATTTTTGTGTACTGTTTCATTGGTGGTATTTTCTATATCTGTATTCATGCAATAGATCTTTCAGCCATGTAACAGAATCGCCAAAGTCTAGTGGCAAATTGCTAATCATGAACTAGTATCTGAAAGCACTAACTAGTGCACTAATCCAATCCAGTCAGCAGAGTAAATTAATTACAATAACGGTTGCAAATATTCACCAGCCTATAGGATTAACCTAAAGTGCACTGGGAACAACTTTACGACATTTGAATTTTGTTATACTGAGCCATTTGCTTATATACCAGGCCAGCATGGTTCATAGTCTAGGACAGTTCTGCTCTGGTATCCAGATAGACTCTGATCTAATAATCAGGTTTGTAATCCCTTAAGCAATAGATAAAGAATCAAATAGGAGAGAATGAGAGAACAGTACTGATCAGAGAACCTGTCCTACTGTGCATAGACTGCTTTGGGGAGGAGGAAAGGAGCTGACAGCTGTTCTTACTGTTTGACCAGCAGCAAGAAAACAGATTCATATTTAATGGACCTGAATCTTTTATCTATGAAAGGGGGACAAATATTATATAATTATTTTAATATACAGGAAGCAGAAATGGGTCCGTAATGCTGAATTTGGTTCAGATGCAGGTTTTCATAAAACCGAGAGTATTCTAGAAATGGGACTAACCAAACTTAATCTCTAATTAGGATCCAACACTGAAGGACTAATTTTATGAAGTATGAGTGGGGTTTTTTGTGATATTACTAGATTCCTCTTATATCACTACATGGCATGTTATGAATTTATCAGATTATCAAATACTGTGTGAGAAAAGATTAATACCATGAGTAATAAACCTCAAAACATGAGAATGAAAGCTTCTATACAGCTCTGTTACTGCATTCTACATAGACATTGTAAAGAAGGTGGATAAATAGTTATTGGAACTGCTGCTTATAGTGAAACATCTTTGTTTATACATTATAGACCAGCAAATCTGTAATAGATTTCTTCAGATTCCAACACCATTTTTTTGTAACAGCCTCTTACTTCTTGAACAAAAAGTGGTGAGAAGTGCTGTTTAGTCCTTCCACCCACAGCTACTTGCAAAATTGAAGTGGAAGTTAATACAGACCCCATTTATGCTGTCAAATTCTCTGGTATGGAGAGATTTCAGGGCAGGCACAGACATTGTAATCTCTTTATTTTTGCTCAGTGATATTCAGAAGATATTAAAGAGCCTATAAAACAGAATGGAAACACAACAAACAAAAGCTCTTCTTCCATGACTGTGGTATCTGCTGAATTCAGTGTAATCCCTTGGAGATTTGATGACGCAGGAGGACAATGTCCCATTTCTTCTGTTTGAGCAAACACCATCATGCTGACTGCAGAGTTTCCCCTGAGTTATTCCAGATGAAACTGTGGCCAAATCTTTCTTTAGATTTCATATCATATGCCCAGTATAGTAATTTTGGGTTTGTTTTGGGTTTTTTTGTATCATAGAATAGTTTGGATTGGAAGAGATTTTAAGGTCACCTAAACCAATCTCCCCGCAGTAAGCAGGGACATTTTCAGCTAGCTCAGGTGACTCAGATCGCCATCAAGCCTACCTTGAATGTTTCCAGGGATGAGGCTTCTGCCACCTCTATGGGCAACCTGTTCCACTGTTTCACCACTCTTACAATAAAAAATTTCTTCTTTGTATCTGGTCTGACTCATCACAGAAGATTTTAACTTCATATACTTCCTCATTTTCAAAGATTGTTGGCTCTGTTTGGAATAATGGAAGGAAGAGAAAGGATTTGGCATATAGCTTGTTTTGCTGCAAGGGATTTGGCATATAGCTTGTTTTGCTGCTTGAATTCTGAAACCTGAGTAATAAAATCATGGAGAAATTTAAGGACATAAAACTCAAGGAAGTTTCAGACTCAATTACCAACAGATACGTTATCACAGACTTGTTAAATCAGATTGGACATGCTTAATTTTCTTTGCAATGACTTCAGGTTAAAATAGCTGTGTGTATGATCGTTTCACTCTTGAAGCCTCTCAGGCTGCATTCAGCAGTTCATTCCTTTAACTCAGCGTCTTTTGCCTGTTCTCTCTGTAAACAGTCATATTGTTGTTTACAGGTAAATCACTGTCTTTCTTCTTACTCTAGACATCAGTCATTTATTTGAGATAGCATTCCTGTCATTTACTCACCTGTCTTTTCAAGCCTATGGTCTTACCTTACACTTTTTCTTCAAATGCCTTTGTTGTCTTTATAGTCTCAAGATCTTGAACAACTTCTGTTCTAAATGGCATAGTACTGCAAGTGCATAGATAAGGACATGTAAACTGGGAGTGTTCTATTTCTTCTTGAAGAAGTAACGTGTCATAAAGTATAGTATATATAAACCATTGTTATGCAGCTTTATTCTGTGGACTTTTCTATTTTAAATAGGAATGGTGATGGTTGTCAGCATCCTTTTGATCCTTTGTAGGCATATTTCATGCTATCTTTTCCTAGGCTCAGGACACTAACCTAATATATTGTCTGTGCTTCTTCCAGATGATTATGAGATATGTTAAAAAATAGGGCCAAATTCTAACCTCTGGCTTCACCATATCATTCAGCTGTCTTCCTGTGAGTAATTGTTCAGAGGTGTGTAGCGCAACTTTTGAGTCCAGCCGTGGGGACAGACCTGCCTGCGTGTGGTGCTTCTTGCTACCGAGCGAACAAAAAGTGCTACCTGGCAGGTGACTGAATTTTCAGTTGGTTTAAAACAAAACAAAGGGCTCTTATTTAAAACATTCATTTATGCAGCCTGCGTTCTTTAAGGAGGGTAACACACAAGGTCTTTCTGGGCTTTGCAGACTGCTCCTGCTATCTAGGACACTGCAGGTGTTTCTTTGATGCTGTGGGTGTGGTTGTTGCCTGTGTTGGGAACAGCGGCACACACCATGCATCTTCTTTGTATTTCAACAGGACTGAGACAGGTTTTCTTATTTCGAATTTGTTATCTATGTCTGACAGCCACCTGTGATGGTAGCAAAACAGAGAGGGAACTGTGGCTATAACTGGTCTTAAACAGTAGGGGTCAGTGACTAGGTAAAAGGAATGGAAAGGGAAACGAGGCTGGCAGTGTTCAAGGCCAGGTTGGACAGAGCCTTGGCCGACACAGCCTAGTGTGAGGCCTCCCTGCCCATGGCAGGGGGGTTGGAACTAGATGATCTTAAGGTCCTTTCTAACCCAAACCATTGTATGATTCTATGATATATCTGGGACATATAATCTCTATAGTTTTAAGATAATGTGTCAAAGGCTTTACTGAAATGCGTAACTTTCATCTGTTAATTCTGTAATTACATAAAAATGGTCTGGAAGGATTTGGTCTAGTAGCATCTGTGAAGCTTCTTTCCTTCTAATTGTAATTTTGGTTTCTGTTTCTCTTTGGGAGATGAGAGGGCAGGGGGAGAGAAACAAGCTACTG